GCGAAGCAAAATCCATACAAAGTTTTCTGTATATAAAATTTTCATTGTAAATATGATAAATATTTTCATTCTCCATCTCTCATTAATTTTTTTCATATACGTTTTTGTTAAAAATTTAAAGTTTTTGAGAATAAATATTAAGAATGTGTTTTAAATTTACATAATTGAATTTATAAAGAATAATGTAAAAATTTTCGTTATACCTTTATTTTATGAATATGTTCGTAAAAATATTTGTTCTGTTTGAACTCTGTACATATATCTGAAGGATAATTCATGAAATGGTGTTTTATTGCTGTTTGCATTTTTCATAAATGCATTCCTGAATACTGCATTTCATGTTTTTTTTTGTTTTACTAGTTCCGTTTATCAAAAATTTGACTTCAAATATATATAAATAAAAAATCAGGATTACGAAAAATAATTATCATCATCATCAGCATCAATTCCTGAATCTCCCATTAGAGCTTAGGGGCTCAAAATAAAGGCTGAAGATTAGAGGTTGGCTGTAGAGTTAGGTCGTTCGCCAGGTTAAACAATGATTCGCTACCCCAAAGCCCTTTGTAAACTGAAAAGTAAATATAAGGCTCAACAATTATACAATTGTTTTTATTAGTGTTGTTTTTTCTATACATTTGTTGAAACATTTTCGCAATTAAATGCAAGAACAATGGATCAACTAAAGAACATCACGCCTGGAGTTCTTCATACAAAATTTAACTCTGAAAAATATTCCTCTAATTCAACTATGTATATCTATAAATTATTCATATATTTCTATGTATATATTTCGTATACAGGAAGATTTTATCATTAAAACAATTTTTTTCGTTTTCACGTATTTTCCGTTGCGTCATTAATTGATTAATAGAGTTTTTTAAACCTTAAAAAAAATTAGAAAAAGTGTGTCATCTAGTTCAGCACCGTAAAGTCAGTCAGAACAGTGGAATAAACAAGTCGTAGATTGACAGCAGAGTCTGATGATTAAGTGCTGTGCAAACAAAACATAAATATTAAATAGTAGAGATTTCTATGAATTCAAAACTATTAATTTGAGTGTGATTAAAAGTCTTGTATTATTTGTACTTTTTAGTTTTTCTTTATGTTGCCAAAGCCTTAAATGTTTAATTCCGGATTTTGTATGTGTGTTTGCTTATTTATTATAGGTAATGTGAACACCAGTCAGGGCTACAAATATGGTAATACATGACTAAAATTTACAATGCACTTTCCTCATTAATGCTTTTTCATGTTTAGTTCGTTTACAGGATTATCTTTGTGCGGATAAGTTTTTTATTACATTACAAAAACCGTTTCGGGGAAATCCAAAAGTAACTCTTACAGATGAAAGACACTCGGCCGCAATTATAACACAGACGTGGAACACCACCTTACCAGGTTTTTACACCTCTAACAAATTAAAATATGACTGCACATTTAGTGTACAAACAAATGAAAAGCCATTAAGAGGAATTTACACAATCATAACACGTCTGAAATTTCGTACAGATCCAGAAAAAAACAACTCCTGTTTAGATTACATACAATTTTCGGGTGGTAATCGCTCACCTAGTAAAAAAATATGTAGCGACATATCACCAAAAGGATCTAGTAGTCGTTATTTTTGGGATCAACGTAGCCGTGAGGTTAATGTGCATATTCACATTGATAATCATCGTATGATATCTGAGCCTTTGGAACTGCAAATGGTCTTAACAGCACATTCAGAGTGTTTACATCCGAGCGATTTCAAATGCAACCCTAATCAAACGGACTCATGTATTTGGCGTTATTTCGAACGTGACGATGTAGTTAACTGCATGTATCCCTGCCGAGATGAGGTATCATGTTTCATTGAACCTGTCGCTGTTAAGGAAACAGACATAATAACTGTGGCATTCACAGCTTTAACAGCTCTGATATTTACTATGTTGGGTGTTGTCTTTTTTGTGTGGGTTTGTTGGAAATATTGGAATTGTATTACAGTCCAACAACAAGCTCGGGAAACAGCAGCACAGCGGCGTCGAATGGTAAATACTTTTTATTTATTTTTATTTTTTGCAACTTATTGAGTTTAATGTACGAATTTTAGAATGCATATAAACATTTCATATATATATATTCATGTTCTCAGCTCAATTGATAAAAAATTAATGGATAAAAATGCTAAACTACCCTTTAAAGTTATAAGTGTTTAGCAATATTTACTATAAAATTCAATCAAACTATTACATATCAAAAGTAGAGACCGAAATAATATACTTATGTGTAATAAGTTTTACTATATATAAGATTTGTGATTTCTAAAAATGTTAACCGCGGGATTTTGTTTCGAATCTATATAGGATCGTAGGAATTTCAACCATTATTATGAATCCATTTATCGACGTTTGCACAATCTTTGACGAGTTCTTTCGGTCTAAATTTCACGTCGGTGTTAAGGACAATGAGTGCTAACATTAATATACAAAAAGTGCGGCAAATAAAAAGGCTGATTTGGTATATTCTGAGATTCCAATAAGTTATGTCAAGGGTCAAATATCTTTTGAGACGCTTGTATTATAGTGTGGCAAAAAAACAAAACATCTGAAGAATCAAACTTTATTAAGAAGATTTTAAAATTTCATTGAAATTCATTTCAAATTATAAATATTTTAATCATAGTCAGTAAGTGCATTTTAACCGGTATTTACAATGCTTCACAATAATAAATTGAAATGAATGTAAACCATATATCAACTGCTGTATGACTATTCCTGGTTTTATTGCGTCGGAACACAATATGGAACCAGTGTGTATACAATATGAATCAAATCTTTTAATGATTTTTCATTTATTTGAAAGCGCTTACCTGAATTACCAACAGGAATATTTCATATTTTAAATCAAATACTTTTAAAATTTTATTAAATTAACTTGTTCTGATTAATTTCAATTTAGAGACTTTGTTATATTCTAATTTAAATAATTTTAAACTTTAAAATGTATTATCTATCTTAACACTATCTATATTATCTATCTTAGCACTATCTATATATTGATAAATAAATCAATCGAGTAAGAACAATATGCCAGTTGACCCTGGGTTACCTCTGAGAGATAAGTTGGAAAAAAACTGAAGAAGGTGATTTCTTACTTTCAGAAACGAAAAAAGATACACTACAAAAAACAAAAAAATGAACCCCTATAAATCTTTAAGTCAAAATTGTTATTCTTAATGGATGTTTTTTGTCGGGCACATTTTTCTTTGACATCTCGTGTCTTTAGAATGTCTATTAGAAATACATTCTAACTCCGAACGTTAATGCCTTTTAAAATAAAACCATTGTATAGTATTATACCTAAATAAAGCATTATCACATAAGATTGCATCATAGACCAGGCGAATAGGTTGCGGATCTTTTTATTTTGCTGTTGAGTTTTTGGCGTATCTAGATCTTGGTATCAATAAAGCTTCTTTTAAAAAACGAAAAAAATAAAAAAATTTTACATTTTTGACCTTCCATATGATCCATGCCATTGCTGTACTAATGAGTATAGTTTGGATATACCGCTTGAGATAAAGCGATTCTACACTATTACCATCGCTATCATAGATAATAGTTTGTATATCAAATATTTACGCATAGACATTATACTCATATTTTTTGTTTTAAATACATTTAAGAAAATTTTAATATTTAATAAATATTTTACAGGACATACCTACAAATAATTCGCCAAACGTGGTAAATCTTGAAGAACCCATATCACAAAATGCTTATGATCAGCAACAAAATCCGCGATATGAGCAACCGCCAAAAGACTTACCTCCAAGTTACGACGAACTATTTCCTGACAGATAATTACTGTTTTCCATTATCAAATAAATTAAGAATCTCGTGTTTTAAGATGAACAACACAAATCCAGAGTGCCAGAAAATTAGAAAACGTTACAAAAAAATAAGTTTACGAATACAATAATTTTAAATTCAATAGTTTTAATGTTTCTATATATAAAGTTAAAATGAAATTGTTAAAAAATTGTTAAGACTAATTCCTGAGCAGCTTAATGCAGAGTGCAATGTAAATAAATTCCATATTGTATTTATGTCCAGACGATGGTGCATATTAGTAACATTAAGGTATTAAAAATATATTTATTGTTCCATATGTCAAAAAATTTGTTTGCATTTGTGGATAAAAATTATAGCCAAATTTTGTAAATGCATCACTTCTTATTCGAATAGTTATTAAGAATTTAAATTTATATAAAAGTTAAAAGAAGTTAATGTCTTTATGTATCATGTCAATTTACAAATGAAACTTAAATGAAAATTTGTATAATTCAAGTTGTTAAATGGTTTTTTAGTATAGTAAAATAACTAATTTAATTACTTCCAATAAAAAATTCTATATATAATGAAATACAATTATTTTTCGCTATATGTAAAGAGAATCTAACAAGAATGTAAATCTTATTCGATGATTTCTTTAGAAGAATCTCTTTTTATTGCTAAAAAAAAGAGAATTAGGCAATAAGAAAAAGTCTCATCTGAATTGAATGTTTTATCAAGCAAAAGACTAAAAGTCTAATGGACCAAGTTCGGTATCAGATCAATATAAATTATGAATAATGGATTCTTTTAAACTGATCAATTCTCGACAGCACACATCCGAATTGATTGTTCAGTTTGCTGGTAGGAGTTCGAAAACAGGACACCTTAAAAAATCCACTACCGTGAGAGCAAAATCTTGATTTGATGAAAGTTTGTTTTCGATATCGTCCAAGATTAAACATTATGTCGGAACTAAACTCATTTGCGAACCACATAATTTTAAACAAAACATTATTCATCACCGTATATCAGTTTCTTTTGAAAAGGATTGTTTTAATTAATGAGCATGCTGCACGTGTTTTACCAAATGACCTTAGAGTTTATTAGGAAATTAAATACCGAGATTGCTTACATATCCTAGTTTTTTCAGATGGTTGTGAATGCTTGAATGATGGATGTTAAATGTTTTTGCAATATCTCGTATCAAGTAACATGGGTTTGCATCCAACAAATCCTTTATTTTGTTGATATCGACGTTGATAAGGTTCTTTGAGCGAAGAGTGTTATTGGGATTTATAATTTTTAAATCATGATTAGTGACAATACATTGTTATGTATTCTCACCGCAAATTTTTCCAAACTTTTCAGAGGCATTTTTTCTTTACGGAAGTAATGACCGATATATGTATGACAGAAGTATTTTTGATAAATCTACTACCGCTATCTGTGGCAAACTTGCGTCATAACCTCCAAAAATGTTAATAAAATATGTTAATAAAATATGCAAATAGAACGTACATAGTTCTATTAAATATTGAGTACGTTCTATTGAATATTGAGTGTTACTATTATTATTATATCGTTCTCACATATATACCCTCACTACATTACATTTTCCAATATCTTTTTAAACCATTTGCAGTATATATAGTCTTCACCTCCAACAATTTGAAAAGATGACTCTATGTAGCTATTCGTCCGCCTGTTTAGATTTTGTGAATGTTTTTAGAATATGTGTCTAACCAACTGTTAACTACAAGTTATACATACGATAGAGCATATATAGGCATATAAACTAAACAACCGTAAATCAATTTTTTTCATTGACTCTAAAACGTAGTTAAAATTTTAAAACTGATCGTTGCAGATTTCAAATTGACAGGCATGTAATGATTAAAAGAAATTTTTTTTCGATTTATAATACCATACCTAAATATCGTAGACTGGGCATATATACGGACTGCGCTAATGCAATGATTCTTGGGAATATTCATTCCTTACGGAAGAGACATTAAAACTTTGAAAAGTAGGTTCTATATAAAGCTATATTCTTATAAAAGTTTTATTCTTTTTTACTGAAAAGTATTGGCTTATTTTAAAGTTATTTTAAAGTCATTATGTTAACTCTTCCTACTCCGGTAGATTCTTGAGCCTACATAGATTAATTAGTAGTACATTTAAAATAAATTTTTTAATGGTCCCGTATAAAATAGTGTGAGATAAGTAATTAAAAATGAGGGCGTAGTTTTTAACAGCTTAGGTTAAGTAGGTTAAATATAGGTTAAAATTATTTTTCACTTGGTTCATAGAAATAAAAAAGGTTTACATGGGCAGAGTGTGTCCTAAGTTGTATTTCACATTGAGAAAGGTGGCGTATTAGACATACAACAGATGTATAGATGTCCAGAGACATATACAAAATATCCATTAACATTAAACATTTGAAAAACTATTTACTGAACATTCAAAATTATTGCCGATTTTGTGTTTGGCTTTGGATATCTACATACTTGTATAAGTTCCCCGACGTTTGACGATGAAATAAATCAAAGTTCAATTTGATAGCATATCTGTTCTTTTGAGTAATCGGAGAGTGAAAGATTTAGATATATGATATGGTATGTGACATCAATTTGCACAAAGACTTTGATATGTCCATAGCGTATCACAAACTGGATTGAGTGACAATTTCATGATCATGTTTGGAGTTCTTTTAACTCAATTTGCTTTACCTTTTTTTTAAACATGAACTGTCTGGTTATCAATCACAAACAGAAAGGCGGTTAAGTGGACACTGCTTACTCTATCCGTCTGGTTGAACTGATTAATTTATGTAGTCTCCATCACATCTTTCTCTTTATTGTATACATATTAATATAATTATTATTATTATTCAAATTATCGACGTGAAATCGTCCAACACTCGGTACTGCGACCAAAAGAGCCCAGAACCAGATCTAGAGAAGAGTTCTTAATCTGTTCTGGTTACAGTACTTCTATATGAAATATGTTTCTTCTGTGCGTTGTTAAAGCTGAACAGTCACAAAGAATGCGCATAGTATTTTCCGCATCTTAGAAGCATAATTTGCATTCCGAATTAGCAGCTAATCGTAGCTTATGAAGGTGATATTTTAGATCACATTGTCCTGCAATGAAACCTGTTATCATCCTTAAATTACATTTTGAGAAATTAATAATGTTTTTTTAGGAGTGCGGTTTGATATCTTGATATCAGATCTTGATAAAGTTAATGTATCTTTTATGTGAATATAATAATGTGAATCATATAAAAATTACTCGAAAAAATTATAGCACGGATTCCTGATTTCGCGGATTATAAATATAATAAAAATGTGTTTTTTATACTCTGTCATTTAAATAAATTGAACTTTTCAATTTACAGGTTCAGACACAATTACTCAAGATAAAAATTTACCTATCACTTGTTGTTCAAACGATCGGAAATCATAAAATTTTAATAAATATTATTTTGATGAATTTAATTTGTATTGCCATTGAACACATGTCGGTTTTTCAATGTTGAATTGAAATTGAGTTTCTATGTTAAAACTAGAATAGATCAAATATGTTTTTAATTTTTATAAAATTTTTTAATTGATTTAGTGCCTTTTTAAAATGAAACGATCAGATACATTCTCCAACCTCTAGTTGGTTTCTATTTATATTACGAGTATAATGTTAATTTCAGTTCTTGGCTTTGATAAAGGTTTCGTTAAATAAATGCTACTATTTATAGCATATCTTGACACAATGAATAATTAGGAAACATATCTAAATATGTGAAACCAAATAAAACCGAACTATTGAAGGAACTGTATTGACGTAATCATGTACGTCTGACGTTTGTATATACAAACGGAGTAATCAAACTAACATAATATGGTATGTTTCTATGGAGTATACGATTAGAAGGTACAGATTGTTGTCCATAATTAAATTTATCTGAACAACTCGTATGTCTAAAATAACTACTAAAAATAGTAAATTCAAAATTTTTTGATAACCACAATTAGTTTAGTTCGGAAACACAAAAATAAAGAATTGTTTTCCTGTTTTTTATCTATCTGTAGAGCAGTAAAGTCATCTTTAATTTAGTAATGTGAAAAGTGAAAGCAAGCTAATCTTTATTACTATAATTGCATTCAAAGTTCATATATTTTAAATTTTCTTTGGATGATAAACCGCGAGTTAGTGTCTAAAGCACCTTTACTCAATAGTGTCTGTGGACAGTTGGATGATCCACTGTATTAAGAGCACCGTGGTATTCTGATATTAAGTTACCTATATGATTTGACAGAAGTATAGTTTGAAGTCCAGCATATCTTCATTATCTCAATAATCTGAGGTTGTAAATTGTTTATAACAGAATTAGCAAAGATGTTAAGTGTTGTCAACAAAGAGCGAAATTGTGTTCATAGACTCCAAAGGAAAATCAGTTATATATAAGTTTTAAAACAGAGACAATGGGGATCCTTGAGGGACGCTCGTCTTAATTTTCTTTACAGATGACAAAAGGTTTTAGGGGTTAATCAAGAACACTCTATTTGATGAAAAACTAGCTACAAAGTTTTATGATTTCAACTGCAATATCATATTTTTTTAATTTGACAATCAACCCGTTACTGTACTTTAACAAACGCCTTAGCATTATTAAACTAGACTATTCCAGTAGATTTCACTTCATTGAGAGCTTTTTTTATAGTTTGAGAAACTCTTGCTGACTGATAATCAATGGAGGGATTTTCTTGGAATTTGAAATGTCCTTTGGAAATGATATTTTTACCCGTAACTATATTTTTGAGTCTTGCCATTACATTTTTTTTGCTATTTACATATAGTAGGCAGCAAACTTATAGGCTTCCAATTTTCAGGCAATGTTTTATATTTACAAATAGCTACCATTGAAGGCTAATAAGTAAGTATCAAGTATTGTTCCACAATTAACCTACAAAAATGATCTTTATAGTTGAATGTTCAAGTTTACTTTGATATATTCTTCGATTCGAGAAGAAAAAGAGTATTTAAAGTAGTGAACATAGTATATTAGCATATAGAGATGCTCGATAAGCCGTCAGCATTTTTATATATTGTTTAGTCTCACATGTGTAAGAAATTATGAGTTAAGTACGTTCTTGTGTAAACTATCAGCAAACTGTCAAGTACAATTAGCTAGCAAACTTGGCCAAAACATGCAAACCGGCTATAACAATGATTTACCGTTTCATTTCTATGGACAGAAAGACAACACTGCTAATATAGTTACAACTAAATTACATGCATAGTTAGGCTCGCCTAAGGATATAACAACAGATTAATACATGCAGTTCGAGTTTAAATTATTCAAGTATGATAGTAGCATAGCGCCGTGAAACATTACCTCTAAAAGTAGATCTCATATAGAAGCTCTAACTCACGAGACTCCAATTACTTTCATCAG